CGGGGCGGGGCGGAGGCGGGGGCGGTCGCCACCGTGACCGTGTCGAGGGGCCCCTCTCTGCGTCCCAACGGCTTTTGCAGTGTACACTCGGCATACGTGAGCATACCGGTGCGGGCGCGCTGCTGCGCTATGGGGCTTTCTCCCTGGGGCGGCGAGAGAGAGAGAGGTAGAGAGAGAGAGGGAGAGGGAGAGAGGGAGAGAGGGAAAGAGAGGGGGGGGGAGAGAGAGAGAGAGAGAGTATGGGACACTTCTCGCAGGGGCGTAAAAGGGCCCGTGCTCGTCGCGGTCGCCCGGGTATGGTGTGACGAGGTCCGCTGAGGCGGAACTGCGGCCGTGGAGGGGAGAGGCGCCCAACGGTACTCCACGGCGGCGCGGGGCCCCCGGGCCCCTCCGGGCCCCCCCGGGCCCCGCCGGGCCTCACCGGGCCCCATCACTTGGGTCCCGCCGCTGCACGGAGAGCGACACGGCCGGTCAAACAGCGGCGTGCAGTCGGGGAGAGTGTACGCGAGTGCGATACTACCGCGTGTGTGTGTGTGTGTGTGTGTGAGCGGGCGAAGGAGTTTGTTCAGCCTGCCCTGCTGTGTTTATTCCATGAGTGTGTGAGTGTGTGTGTCGCCGTCTGCAACTTCTTCAACTCCGACATCCTCACAGTCATCCCGGTGTATAACATCCCGAGAGGGCAGCTGCACGCCACAGGAGATCTGTGAACAGGGAAGCGCCGCCACCGAACAGGTAGGTGGGGCATGTGAGGGCACGCGCGCGTGGGTGTGTGTGTGTGTGTGTGCGTGTGCGTGTGAAAGAGAGGTAAACTAAATAGAGATCGATCGGTTGATCGTTACCTTATATATGAAGTCAATAAAAATTTGTCCGACTGGCGTAAAACGTACCGCTCAAAACTCTTATAAATTACTAAAAGAGATAGAGAGAGAGAAAGCGAAATAAGACATAATGTGAACATATACCCAACCCTGGAATGGCACCCCGTGCTCGTAAGGGTCACTCCCTCCGGAGCCCCGCAACGCTCTCCGCACGCCAGTAAGTACTTACTACTACAAAGCGATCCCGGGCCAGGGCCACACTGTTTACCAATTCCACCGGCAGTAAAGGGGCTCCAGTGTACACGCCCCGGCCGGCCCGAGGCCCGGCCGCACGGGCGCGCGCCCCTTCCAAATGGTATGTACGGAGCGGTACTTGTGCAGGTCTGGTTGACCCGGCATAATGGAGTATCCCAGGCGTTCGGTTCGGTTGAGTTCGGTTCAGTTCGGGGTAGGTCCTCCAGCTGCTGCTGCCTGGCCCTGGCGTGGAAGGTGCAAAGCTGACTGGCCATAACTGAGGTGTTTGTTGAGTTTTCGATTTTCGAGAAAACTATATTTGGATTTTTTTTTCCGCGTATATCTCGTATTTTTTCCTAAGTGGTTTCAGTTGTTCCCAATCTTTCTGGACATGTTCACAATTTTTAAAAAAATTCTGGAAAGGTATCAAAATTATTTTAAAAAGAGATCAATAAAAAATGCCCTTGCCCAGAGAATGTGTGGCCGAGGAGGGCAAACAAGCCACAACTTGGAGTCGGCGGGACTATACCGCCCGAGACAGAGGCTGGGCAGCAGGCGCCAGGCCCGCTGCGCCGCTCCCACGGACTGCACGGGGCGCGCGTTTAAGTCCGGAGCTCAAAGTTATTGTTTCATCGGGCGAGCACCGGCTACTCTACTTCCGGATGCTTCTCTCTCTCTCTCTCTCTCTCGTCCCCCTTTTGGCGCACATGCTCATATCTCAGGAGAGCAGCTCCGGGAGGTGCAGCGGCTCCGCACCACCGCTCCGCTCCCCGACCTCTGGCGCGGTTCCAAAGCCCGGCCAGGGAGGCGGAGGCGGTGACGCGGGATGGCGCCCCACCCGCGCGCGCACTGCGACGGCCGGGGACCTGGCCGGGCCTGCGGGGACTTTTCTGCCCGATTGCTTTCCCCCCAACCCCCTCTGCATGCGCACACATACATGTATATATGTGTCCAGCGAGCTGCAGATCCTGCGGTTCACACACTGCAGTCCGGCCCCCGCACTTTACTGCGTCAAGCGCGGCAGGACACGGACTGTATCCGCCGTCACGTCAGGACGCTTCTATCATTGTTTTATTCGGGAGAGGGGAGATAATTCACACGCAGCAAAGAAAGAGAGGGGGGAACCAAAGGGAGGAGGGGAAGAGAGAGATGGAGAGAGAGAGAGAGAGAGAGAGAGAGAGAGAGAGAGAGAGAGAGAGAGAGAGAGTGAGGGGGGGGGGGGGGGGCATCGCCGAGCGGAAGCATCGCTGTCCATTCTGATGCATACACCGGGCCGGTTTGAGCGGCGGCTGCTGATTGGTCCAGCAGCGGGGCGCATCCCAATCCCGTCACAGCATCCCGATCCCCACATCCCGCGGAACCCGCAGCTGGGCCGGGGTCGGGCCGGGCCGGCCGGACGCGTCCAGTTTAGTGCGTCGTGCGCTGGCTGCTCCGACTTCTTCTTCCTCCCGCCCACCGCCGCCGCCGCCACCGGGCGAACTAACACGGTGCTACCGCGACGGGCGTGATATTTACCTCGGCGTCTGGCCATGGCCGGCTCATGGCGGAGGGTGGCGAGGCGGGCGGGGCGGGCGGGAGTAAACTCGGGCGTATATATCCTCGTTGCTAGCGGCGCCAATAATACCTGTCCCGCCTCCAGCACAGCACAGCCTACACTGTTAAAAATGCGGTTGTAAATCAGCAGCAAATTTCTTGGTAATTTTCATAATGAGTGATGTTGTACAATAGATCTATTTTTTTTTGTCACAAAAATAATTGTAAAATTGCAACCCTTTTTTCCTGTTATTTATTGACAGAATGTATTGTTTAGTAACGTATACAGAAATGTTTGCACTGTAAAGTTCTTGCAAAGACTTTTGAAGCAATGCGTAAGGAAGTTTGCACTGCAAAGTATTTTCTTTGCATTGTAAATTATTTTACAACGTTATTGTAAATTCTTTGCAATTCAAAGAATAGTTCTTCGCAAGCCTTTTACAGTGTTTTTTAACAAAGAATTTTAACAGTGTAGCCCTGCTGCGCACTACTCTCTCGCCCGCACGGCACCGGTGTCGCGGCGAGGCGCTCACGAAACTAACTTACTGCACGGCGAACAAAACGACCACCGAGTCGAAACAATACCGTCGCGGCAGAGGCTCAAAACAGTCGTCACCATAGCGAGTCTCTCTCATTTTCCATTCTGAGGTGTTATCATTATTTGCTTTTATCACGAAGGGGGAGGGGGATATATTCGACGGAGCTGCTGGTGGGTGCAGCGTGGGGGCCCACCGAGAAGGAGAAACTGGCGAAGAAATGTTCTATGGGGCTCCGGAAGCCTTTTCGCTGATACTTTTGGATGACGGAGTCGGGAGATAGGTTAATGAAGCACGGAAGGATGCGGGGAGGTATGGGGGTGGGGGCACTGCAGGAGGCGCCGCCGCACGGCCGCGCAAAGGCCGGAAGGATTCCTGCAGGGATTCACTCCCAGCAGAAACAAGGAAATCTCGCGTGGGGGCGTGGGTGGGCCACGGGAGAAGTAGAGGGGGGGGGGCGTACAGTACCAGCCGGGGCCACCGGGTGAAATCCCCAGAGAATGGACGATGTTCGCTTTTATCTGAAAAAAAGGAAGGGGCGGGGGGAGAAGAAAACAGACAAACCGAGAGTGAAAGGTGTACAGACAGCGAGGCAGAGAGGTGCAAAAATAAGGAGCGAGGCGACGACGGGGAGAGAGAGAGAGAACAGGACAAAAGGCTTTGCAGATCTGCCTCGTCACTGGAATGTGACGCTCCCGCCCGTGGCGCGGTGCAAAGGGGGTGAGGGGCTGGGGGG